AAAATTTTCTAATATATTTGACGCGCTATTTTTTACTGCATTTTATGAATCTGCATAACATTTGGAGTTTTTTTCGATTATTTTTAAAAAAGTTTCGTCTATTATTTTTAGTCATAAGGTATGCATGTAAAAATTAATTGTTGATTTAATCATCTGGCAATCTGGTTATATTGGTTATATTGGTTATATCTGGTTATATTGGCAAATCGTTTAATTGTTGAATTAGTTTCTGAGACAATCGTTACCGGGATCGTTTTACCGAAAAATCGTTTCACGAGAAGATCGTTTTACAATAACATTTGACACCGGCAGATCAGTTCACAGGCAGATCAATTAAAGAGCTGATCGTTACACTAGCAGATAGTTTCACAAATAGATCGTTTTATAAATAGATCGTTATACTGGCGGATTGTTTAGTTAAGATTTTTTCTTCACGAGCAGATCGATTTAATAGCAAATTCATTGATTTCCGTATTGATTTACAGAGTGATCGTTAAAATAGCGTATTGTTTCACATGCGATCATTTACATCTGTATAAATCAACCAGCAGATATTTTTACTGGCGAATATTTTGACATGCAAATCATTTGACATGCAGCTTGTTTTACAAATGAATCGTTTCAAGAGCAGATCGTTACACCGGTAAATCGGTTTACAAGCAGATCGGTTAACTAGCAGATCTTTCACGAGCAGATTGATTCAATGGCAAATTTATTAATTTCTGTATTGATTTACAGATTGATCGTTAAACTAGCATATATTTTTACTGGCAATCATTTACAGCTGTATAAATCAACAAGCAGATATTTTTACTAGCGAATATTTTGAAACGCAAATCATTTAACGTGCAGCTTGTTTCACAGGTGGATTGTTTTCAGAGCAGATCGTTACTCCGGTGGATTGTTCCACAGGCGGATCGATACACTAGCAGATCGTTTTACTATAACATTGTTATACCGGCAGATCAGTTCACAGGTGGATCGTTTAAAAGGCAGATCGTTCTACTAGCAAACCGTTCAATGAGCAGATTGTTATTTTGGCGGATCATTTAATTGACATATTTTTTTACGAGCAGGTCGTTTCAAAGGCAAATTCATTAATTTCGGTATTGATTTTCAGATTGATCGTTAAACTAGCGTATGTTTTTACCGTTAATCATTCACAGCTGGATAAATCAACAAGCAGGTATTTTTACTGGCAGGTAGTTTTCTGAGCAGATTGTTTTACCAGCGGATCGCTCTACGAGCAGATCGTTTTCCTTGCGAATCAGTTGATTGGCAGATTGTTTTACCGATAAATCGTTCTACCTAATGATTTTTACTCTGTTGAATTAATTGATTGATACATTGTTTCGCAAGATTTTTCGTAGATTATATTTTTTTCTGGAAGACGAAACGCAGCAGTGGTTACAGTTTTATAAATACACACGATTTAACCTCCAGGTGATTTTCCTGTACTTTTTATTTCAATAATAGATCTTTTTATCAGTGGTTGTTCTAACAGGAGAATGGTTAATTAGCAAATTAAAGTAGTAGCAACGTGGAATGCTCGTTTTTAAATTTTTCGAGTAGAAGAATTTAGTTGATTTTCAACTATGTTTGTTTATAAAATTAACACGCTTTGCAGAGCTAGTTTTATTCTTTAATCGGTATTATTGCCAGTAGTGGTCTGGAAACAGAAGGCAAGCTCGCGCTGCTCGCACACAGCATTTGGTTACTTCTGCTAAAGAACAGGATACGGAGGAAAAAATTGGACTATCTGCTGTCCCGCAGCCTGTAAAGGAGCGTGAGACTGTAGTCCACAGTTTTTAGTTTTTGATTTGAAGCTGAAAACAAACTTAAATGACATTAAACGTTATTTAACATTTTTCATCCCTGTAGAATTTCTACCGATTTTTTTGTTCTATTGCTAATGTCCATTCACAATAATAAAAATTGTAAATTTGTACACAAGATACCATCTTTCAACTTGATAATTTTAAAGTGTTTTCATAGCAATAAATAGTTTACAGTTTTACTAATAATAAAACTTTGATGACCATGCTTTTTCATTGAAAGCATTTGTCTAAGATCGCCTCAAAAAATCAGTAATTTTACACTGAAAAAAATATTATCATCACGTAAGTCTTTTGAAGTTTTATCCACAATTTCTAAAGCTTTTTTCGAGATCATTGAAGCTCCGTCGTACATAATTACATTTACTTCTCGTTACATTTTTTTATCAGTTTCGTATCCTAAAAAAGAACTTTTAAAGTTATTTAAATCTTATGGTAATCAGGATGTTCTATGACTTGTCATTCTTTTAGGTAATAAAATTAAAGCAATTTCCGTCCAAGCCATAGACATATTTTTTGTCTTTTTTAACAAAAAAATGAAAAATTGATGTTTGATACATTCATGTTTTTCTAAAACCTCCTAGACCACCAATAAAAAATAATTTTCTGTCACTATTATTCATTTCATTAAAAATTTTTTTTTGGTCACTATTTAGTTTAACAAATAAATTCTTGAAATTCGTTTCTAAATTATTAACATTTTTGTTGTCCTCAATATCTTCAGATGTTATTGTTTCATTTGGTTCTAGTCATCCACAATCTTTACATGATTTTCATTTATATTTAAAGATCTCATTTAAATGCAATAAAGCATTAATTTGCTTATCATCTTTTAAATCTTTGATGAACAATTTTTAGAATGATAACCAAAATAGTCTTACCACAGATGTCTGCAGATATTGAAAACCATGTGAAAAACTTTCTCAGTTCCATGGCAGCATCAGAGAAAAGTAGGGAAATTGTTGACTGCAATGCTAAGGAATGTACCCACTTTTTCCACCGGTTGAAGCGCCTTGTCGTCGCCAAGTGACCATACCAGAAGCACATTTTTTTTATTTGAGAAGCATGGTAGGGGTATACGCCTACAAAGAAAAAAGTGGATTCACGTGGAAATTTTGGCATATAGGCGTACATTTTAGAGATGCGTGGAAGGGTTATACCGAACGTACGCCTACAAAGAGAAAAGTTGAACTGTCGGCTATAGCCGCATAGCTGCAGAGCGCGTAACAAAAGAAAGCGATGACGACGACTGCAACGAGTCTTCCTCGCTGTTTATACTTTAACTATACCTATAAGTATAATATTCTATTCAACTGACTTGCCTTAATCTTATGATTCCAAGTTCTAGAAATTAAGGGGGTGTAAATAAATAGTGAACGAGAAGTTTTGGCAGATGTTTATAGTATAAATTGTTGTTTAGCAGCACAATGTTATAAGCGTTACAATATTTCATATATTTGAGCCGTGTTTAACTAAATCTTAAGCAATAGGAGTCTCTCTCAGAGTACTGTAATGCATGTTATTAACTCTTGTCAAATTTTTGAACGATTCAGCTCCATTCGCCTGGCTCCGTAGGTGACACTATATTCAGTCACCCTATTGTTAAATTATGTTAAACTCTTTTTTTCCAACCCAAGTTGAAAGCGTCAAATTGAAATAGTAATATTCTGGAATATTTACGAATCTAACTTTTTTCGCGAAATTACCTATTTTAATTAGTTTTAACTAAGCCATTAATGCTGTTTGGGAATTTTCTGTAGCTTTAAACATATCATTTTCTTGAAAAACTATTTTTTGTTAATTTTTATTATGAACTGGTAAATTAAATACAAAATGGCTTCGTCCACACAAAGAAAACTCTTGCTATTGCCATCCTGCTTCCGTAGGCCTTAAAAAGCGACCATCTACATAATCTGATATTTCATAAAAAAATTTCTGTATCGACTTTTTCATTACTCGTATCTGTTTTCGTTATTTAACATAATGCTTTATTTCCTCCTATATGAATATTATCAAACAAATACTTTATACTACAATTATTTTAAGTTAAAACTAAAAGTGTATCTTCATTTTCGAAACTGAATTCTGACAAGACTTGATTATATTTTGTAACTATATTTTGAAACTAAATAAATATGAAATAAGATTTGTTTAAAATAATCTATTGATTGAATTCTAGTGTAAGGCCGAAATGATTCCATGAAAATTAATAATTTATAGATTTATTATTTGTAAAACTTTTTTAAAGATAT